AGAGAGAGAGAGAGAGAGAGAGAGAGAGAGAGAGAGAGAGAGAGAGAGAGAGAGAGAGAGAAAGAGAGAGAGAGAAGGCCCAGCAGGAAGGAGGAGCATGAAAGAAGACATGTTGACAGATGCCATCGAGATTGGAAGAAGAAGGAGAAGCAAATGGTCTCGATCAGATGGATGAGGGAGGAAAAATGAACCAAAAAAAAGAATGGATCACGGCACTCGGAATTTGCCACTTTCGGGAAAAAAAAAAAAAGGAAATTCATGGCAGAAACTCCATTCACGCAATTGAGGGCCACATCACGGAATTCATCATTTTTGTCAATTTTTTGGAAAAAAAGAAAGCAAATTCATGGCAGCAAATGATGATTCAATATGATTCCTGCAATTTGTCGATCACACACATGAATCGAGATTTGATCCAAATTGGGGAAAAAGAAAAGAAAAGAAAAAAAAGGCGCCATCAGCGAGTGTTGCTGTGCCACGGTCCACTTGTTATTTAAAAGGGAGGTTTTCAGATTGATTTTAGAATTCACAGCGAGAGGATTTGAGTGTGTGGTTACAAGAGGAGCTGTGAATGCATGACAGTATAGACACTGTTGGTGGAATGAGGGAGGAAGCCGTCTTGAATCTATAGAGGATGTCATCGCCTGTAATTCGTTGTAATCGAGGATGTGGCATGGGGTTGAATTGTATGCCATGCCCGAGCTCAGATCTTAGATCAGTGGGTTTATGACATCTTTTGTGCTCACTACCACTTTTTTTTTCTTCTTTTGAGTGGCTGTAATACGCCTCAGGCTCAGCATTTACGTGGGGGCCCGTGACAGGCTAATATAACCCCACTCCCTGGTCCTAGCTGAGGGCCCCTGAAGTGCGTGCAGTAGGTGACAGACGTTGTTGCCCCGTGCTTCAGTCCATCAGGCGTCTTCCTCCACGAGTTTCCTGACACCGGAACTCAATGAAGAATACTATTCAACTTGCAAAAGGAGCCAAGATTCCAGCTAGTGCAGAGGATGCTTCCACCAAACCTTGGCTGGACCTCCATTCAGTGAGACCGATTGGAGAAATACATTGAAGAGGAAGGTTTGCCTGCATTGCCAAAAACAGGGACATGCAGTCCAGCAATGCTGCAGGGAACCGTTCAAGGGCATAGAGTTGTTGTCAGCACACTCTTCAACAAGAGAGGCTGAACAGGTAAGTGGCAGTTCCTCTAAGTAACCCGATTCAGTTCAGCAGCCTTCTCTTGATGCCCCACACCGAAACTCAACGAAGAACACTACTCAACTCGCCTAAGGAGCCAAGATGCCAGCTTGTCCGGAGGATGCTTCCACCAAACCTTGGTTGGACCTCAAATCAGTGAGACTGATTGGAGAAATAGACTCTAGAGGAAGGTTTGCCTGCATCGCCAAAAACAGGGACATGCAGTCCAGGAATATTTCAAATTTCAGGGAAACGGTCAAAGGCGTACAGTTATTGACAGCACACTCTACAGCAAGAGAGGCTGAACCGGTAAGTGGCAGTTCCTCTAAGGAACATGATTCAACTCAGCAGCCTTCTCTTGATGCCCCATCTACTGCTGATTCCAAGGATGATGCTGGTCAAGTCCTCCATGTCGGGCCTTGGGGGAAGTCAAGGGAGATCGACTTCCACTCTCACTTGCAGCATTGGGCTGAGCTCATGCGAAGCCGTGCACAAGGGACTGTGCAGTTGATCTTCTTCAAACTTCTCATCAGCCATCGTTACATCTGTGTACTTGTTGATTGTGGCTCAACAACCAACTTCTTCTCTCCGAAACTTCTTCTCTCCGAACGGAATCCGTAAGGCGGGCTTGGGGATGAGGCAAGTGGAACCGCAACACCCTTGCCGCACTCAAGTGGGCAACCAAGAGGCTGTCACTTCCACAAATGCAGTCAAAGGTGTGCACACTACCTTTGATGCAGATTGCACAGTCAAGCACACATTTAATTTCTACATCCTCGATAAAGTGCCCCTTCGATGTTGTTCTTGGCTTCGGCTGGTTGAAAGCCCAATGATTCAGAACTGAGTGGGAGAAGTCACTCTTCATGGTACGTGATACCAAGGGAGTTCTGCAAGAAGTGGCGAGGCGCAAGAAGACAAGCAATTGTACATAACCTTCGTGAAACTTCCCATGTGGCATCCTTCCCATGTGGCATCCACTTTTGCGGCTTGTAATACTTCCACTTTGCGCGATGTAACTACTACTACTACTCCATCTACTCTAATTGATTCCACTTCAAATTATGTTGTTTTGGCTGCCAATTTGCAGCCTGATTTGCCTTCCCCTTATTCTGATTCACCGCCCCCTGAGATCCCAGCAAACATCTGCAGCCTCCTGAATCGATTCTCGAAAGTTATGCCCGAACCACGTTGAGTTCCCAACTTCACGTGCATCCAGTTAGACACAAAATGGATTGACTGGAAGGCAGCAGTTCTCCAAAGGGCTGAGTGTATGACTCGACGAATTAGAAGGCCTTCGGCAACAAATTGATGAGATGATTGACAAGGGGTGGATCGGACCCAATGAGTTTGACTTTGGTGCACCGGTTTTATTTTCCCCCAAAAAGGAGGCAAAGTTCGGATGTGTATCGACTAACATGGATTAGACAGAAGCACATGAAGGACTGCATACCCATTACCGCAGATGTTGCAGGAGGGTGCGAGGTCTCCTCAAAGATCGATCTCAAATCTGATTACCACCAGATTGAAGTCATTCCGGCAGACCAGCACAAAACTGCACTCAAGACCGCCGACGAGTTGTACGAGTTCACCGTTATGCCCTTCGTTCTGACGAATGCACCAGCCACCTTTCAAAGTCTCATTGACAAGGTCTTTAGAGATCAGATCAATCGATTTATTGTTGTTTATCTTGATGACATTCCGATTTTCGGCAAGTCTATGGATGGCCACATGAGAAGTATCCTCGAGGAAGCGCAACTCCATCTCAACTCGGAGAAATCTGAGTTTTGGAGGGACAACGTCATCTACCATGGACACCAGCTGTCTGCTGCAGGCCTTGAGCCCAAGGCAACCAAAGTTCAGGTCATTCGCAAGTGACCTCAACCGGTGAATGTTTGCGAATTGTGTTCCTTTCTTGGTCTTGTGTCATACTACCGAAAGTTTGTTCCCATATTTTTTGCCATTGCTCACCCATCCTCTAGACTAACTAGCAAAAATGTATCCTACACATGGAATGATGCATTTGAGACCGCTTTCCAAGCCTTGAAAGTGGCTTTGGTGAGTCATCTTGTGCTCCGCATTGCCGATTCCAACCTCACATTTGTAGTCACTACAAATGTGAATCGCTATGGGACTGGCGCAGTGTTGCAACAAGATGATGGTGCTGCCTTGCATCCGCTTGAATACTACAGTGAACACATGCCCAACAAAAAGGTAGCTACTTCCACCTACATGCAGCAGCTCTATGCTTTGTGTGACGCATTGGACCATTGGAAGCACTATCTTTTGGGTTGCCACTTCACATTGGACCATTGGAAGCACTATCTTTTGGCTTGCCACTTCATAGTTTTTTTGGATCATCGGACTTCGTAGTGGTCAAGTTACAAGATACTATATCTACAACACTGACTCGCTGGCTGCATGAAATTGATGTATATCAGGGTTGCATGCCTGCCGACCCCGACCGCCTTGCAGCCGACCAATAGGGCTTACTGGTCGACGGTCTGCCGACCAGTTAGAAAACAGCAATCCACTTTTGGGGATGCGGGGAGGTAGGGGGGGTGGCTGAGGTAGCCACACGTGCCCCTCCCTCCTACAAATTTTAAGGGCAGAGAAAAATAAATAATGGCCCCGTATTCCTCATTGCATATAGCTTTTTTTCTGAAGGGCCCCTAGCGGAGAATCTGCAGGGCCCTTATATCTCAGCAGAGATACTCAACGAATTTAGGATGAGCGAGGAGCAGGCCGGCAATTTATCTTCTGGATCCAAATTGAGATCTGTGTTCCAGCAGTTACGGTCTACAACTACTTACTGTCATAGCCCTCTCTTTCTTTCTTTTGTTTTCCATTTCCTACGAGCAGTGGCCCTAAGGGCCTTGCTCCACTCGTCACCACTTGCACAAAAGACAAAACATATGGCGGCTTATGATTCCATGTTCTAGCAGAAGATTCATTCTAGTTTTGCACATTTGGTGAGTAGTGGAGGGAAGTCTGAAAATCAGGTGGTGAGTTGGCCTGCTCCTGCCCAGATAATCATGTGCTCCGTGCTCCCATAACTGCTAAAACACGGACCTTAATGTGAATCTACACCATATATAGTTAGCGTGCTGCAGACCTTAATGTGTTTGAGAAGTGCCACTTTCGTGGAGAGGAGGTCCTTGCTAATTATTTGCAGGGGCCTCTAGGATTCCCTGCAATGTTATGACCCTGGCCAATTTCGAGATACACATCCACTGGAAAGTACAATGCCATCCAATTGCAGACAAAAATGAATGAACTTGAGAGGAGAGAGAGGAGTAGAAGAAGAAGAAGAAGAAGTAGGAAAGAAGAAGAAGAAGATGTACACCAGCAAAGACAATGACAAGGCTCTTCTTCTTCGCCCAACAATCTCCCCCTTCTCTTATTCATACAAGAAATAATAATACAATGTTGAATGACTGGTCCAGAATCATGTCCGAGTCCCTTTTCTACTGCAGGTATCACTCAAGGTCCACCATAGCCATGGCTGCCCCCCCCACTCTTCACACACATAGGCCGAGGCTATAGCGGACTACTAGGCCTTGCTCCTACGTCCAAAGGACAACCCAGAGCAGCTATGGCTGCTCCAGCTTAGGCCGCCATGCCCAGCCTTGCCTTGAAGCTTCTTGGTGTAGCTCCCCCGGCTGGGGACTCCTTGCAGCAGCGCCCACCAAGGTGATGAAGATGGCTGCCACCATAGCCAGGTRAGTACCCCTGGCRCTCCTCCCCCTTCCTCCTTCCTTCCTCCTTCTTCCTCCCTCTAGTCCTTCTTCTTCCTCCCCAGCAGCACAGCTCCAACCCAGCGCTGCTCCCTCCAGCRCTCCACCAGTGTGTYGCCAAACTTGCACACCGAAAAAGAGGCCRGGTCTTCCGCCCGGCCGGAAGATATAGCGGCCTGCTTTGCCTCTTGGGCGGTGACTTCCAGGCCGCTGGCCTTCCCAAGCAACCGGTACCTCTTCCTCCTTTTGGAGGGAACATCATTSCARACTCTGATATTGCCCCTACAGGCCCTAGACTCAGACTGGTACCCGCTAGACCTAGCCTACACTACCGGCCTCTAAAAATGCCACTTTTGTCTTCTTCTGCTCGGCCTCCGGTACCTGCATATTTACCCCCCTGCCGGGTGCGGTACCGGCCTACCCGCTACTTGAGTGCTTTTTCCCTGCTGCAACTCTTCGACGCCACGGCCACAGGTAAGTACCGGCCCTGAGGGCCCAACGAACGAACAAGTGCCCTGGCGGGCCACACACACACACACTCATACCAACCAGCACTTAGACAGGCATGGTCACACACGCAAGCCAACCAGCACTCGGACAGACATGCAGTCCAGCAAGCACGCACACACACAGACTTAGCAGGCGGGGAACTCAGTAGGGCATTTAGTCTATGAGCAAAATTCAAAAATCAGCTGTGTGTTTCAGTCCGTGTTTGGACGAGTTATCACACTACCCCCCCCTCAAGAGCGAGGTCCCTTCGAGCGAGTAACTCGTTCTGAGTCCTCGACAAACGCATCGTAGGCGAGCAAGGCAAAGAGATTCCTGGAATACTCTGTTGCAGAGAGCCTTGCTAAGATCTTTGGTGCGGCGTTAGTGGCGATCTGTCGCTCGTAAGCTTTGACAACGCGCGGTGCGCTGCGTAGCAGTTCCTGTTTGGAGATCCAGTAGAGATCATCTAACGGGTGATACATGAAATGAACCTCGTACTGTCTGTTTCTCCCTTTACCTACATGCTGTTTGATTCTATCTATCTCATGCCCGCCCTTGATTGCGCGAGGGATCATATCTTCGCGATAATCGAATGTCTCGGCTTCACGATGGAGATTCAGTTTAGATGCATGAAACACGGGATATGTGCGCAGGTGAGCAGGCACGTCCACAACGTACGAAGGGCCGAAATGATTTTCCCCGATTACATCCAAAACTTCCCAAGGCCCGTAGTAGAGTGGGAGGAGTTTGCGTGAGACTCCCTCCTCCTCTGAGAATTCAGACATCTTTACCCAGACATAACTTCCTACCTGAATCTCCGATGGTTTGCGCTTCTTGTTCGCATGATGAATCACGGCATGTTGTCGCTTGGTCACAGCTGCAACAACAACTTTGAGCAAGCGATCATACTTAGCCCTGAAGCCGGGCCTGCCGGGTGTCAAACCAGCCGGCTGCTCAGGGAACAAGTAGAAGAGCGGATTGCGGATCTGCCACCCGTAGTGCAGCCTATTGGGCGTCGTGGCGGTGGCAGAGTGAATGGAGTTGTTGTACAACCCCTTGACAGAATACAGCTCCTCATCCCATGTTTCCTGATCAGGAATGATCAAAGCACGGAGTAGTTGGAATACAGTCTGGTTGATCTCCTTAGCCAAACCGTTGGCTTCGGGGTGTCGGCCAGATGTCATGCACAGTTTGATTCCTAGGTGGGACGTGAATTCCTTCCATTCAGCGCTAATGAACCGCGGGTCCTGATCGCTGACAAGAGTCTTCGGGGTTCCGAATTGCAGCAGGTATTTCTGCTGGAATTCGCGAATCACTAGATCTGTTGGGAAGTAAGGCGGTAGAGGGATCAGATTAAGAAACTTTGAGAATCGGTCAACAATCACCATGACTTGTGAAAACCCATTCTTGCTTACCTTACCCATGTCTGTGAAATCGATGGAGACAGATTCCCCGGGGCCATCAGGAATGGGTAGGGGTGTGAGTAGCCCCATGGGCTTTTGCCTACATGGTTTGATTCGTTGACAAACTTGACATTCAGCTATGAATTTCTCAGCAGTCCCTTTCATGCCAGGCCAATCAAACCGTCTCAGCAGGTTAGCGTACGTTTTTGCCATGTCGAAGTGCCCGCTCCGGCCATGAGCCAAGTCCAGAAAGTGTGTGCGGAGAGGCTCATGGTTGGGTACACACAAACGATCATGGTTCCCGTATCGGCGAAAAATCAGTCCTCCATACTCGTGGAAATCAGGCTGACTACTAGGATCAGCCCGCAGTTGCTCAAGGATGGAACTAAGTTCCGGATCCTTGGTTGTCTACTCTACGAGCTCCTCCTTCAGTTTTTTTCGGAGGTCGTAGGATTTCACAAGGCAAGTCATGTACTCAGAGCGGCGAGACAATGCGTCAGCGACTCGATTGTAACAGCCCTTTTTGTGTCTCAATTCAAAATCAAAGATGTCAATCTCATGAAACAAGCGAAGCAAGGTAGGGGACAGAGTAGTCTGCATTTTGATCCACTTCAAGGTCTCATGATCTGAGAACACTTTGAAGTGGCGTCCCAACAGGTAATGTTTTCAGTGATCCAACGCCATGCGCAAAGCGTAGAGCTCGCGCATGTAGGTGGAAGTGGCTACCTTTACGCTGGGCATTCGTTTGCTGTAGTACTCGAGTGGCCGCAGACCATCGCCATCATCTTGTTGCAGCACCGCACCGATCCCATACTGACTTGCATCTGTAGTAACTACGAAGGTCAGTTTGGGATCTGCAATGTGGAGTACCGGGTAACTTACCAAGGCTTCCTTGAGAGTTCGGAATGCTTCCGTACACGCGGCATCCCAGGAATAAGACACATTCTTGCTGGTTAGTCGCGACAATGGATGAGCAATGATAGAAAAACGGCGTACAAACTTCCGATAGTACGACGTGAGACCAAGAAAAGAACGCAATTCACGAATGTTCACAGGCTGAGGCCAATCGCGTATGACCTCAATCTTGGTTGCCTCAGGCTCTAGGCCTGCAACAGACAACCGGTGCCCAAGATAGATGACGCTATCCCTCCCAAACTCGGATTTCTCCAAGTTGAGATGGAGCTGCGTCTTCTTGAGGATGGCAAGTACCTCCTCAAGATGCTTGAGGTGTTCCTCCATGGACTTGCTGAAAATCAGGATATCGTCCAGGTACACTACCACGAACCGGCCAATCTGTTCGCGGAGGATACTGTCCATAAGGCTTTGGAACGTGGCTGGTGCGTTCGTAAGACCGAAGGGCATTACGGTAAGCTCATAAAGCCCATCGCGCGTCTTGAACGCAGTCTTGTGCTGGTCCGCAGGATCGACTTCAATCTGGTGGTAGCCAGACTTGAGATCGATCTTGGAGAAGACCTTGCACCCGCCTGCAGCATCAAGCAAGTCATCTATACGAGGCAATGGGTAAGCATTCTTTCTTGTGATGTGGTTTAGACCGTGATAGTCAATACACATGCCGAGTTTGCCTCCTTTCTTTGGCACAAACAACACAGGAGCACCAAATTCAGATTCACTTGGTTTGATCCACCCTTTGTCAATCATCTCATCGATCTGCCGCCGGAGTTCCTCCAACTCACCGGGTCCCATACGGTACACGCAGCCCTTTGGAGGAACTGCACCCTCGACCAATTCGATGGTGTGTCGGACTGGTCGCGTGGGGACTCCACGTGGCTCAGCCAAGACTTCCGAAAACCGATCGAGGAGGGCTTGAGTGTCTGATGGGACAGTTGGGGGTGGGGAATCAGCAAAGGGATCACCAAAGTCCGGCCGCAGGTCGCGTATAGAGACGACCGAATCTGAAGTAGGATCATTTGGACTATTAGAGGGTATTGAGGTAGAGGTGCTAGTAGTAGAAGTACTAGAAGTAGGATCATTAATCAAAGTAGTAGTGGTACTAGCCGCAAAAGTAGAAGGCACATGAGCAGGACGAACAGAGGCAACATACATTTGTTCTTCCTTCTTGTGCTTGCGCTACTTCATGCAGAACTTCAATGCATTCAGAAAAGTCACTGGGGATTCATGCTTCTCATCCAAGAGGACAGGAAGCTCGTTCCCTTGAGCATCTTTGACCATGAAGAGTGATTCCTTCCACTTAGTCCATTCGCATTGGGACTGCAGCCAGCCCAAGCCAAGGACAGCGTCGAAGGGGCACTTGTCAAGGACAAAGAAGTTCAGTGCACGGGTGACAGTCTTACCTTTGTCAAAGGTAGTGCGCACACCTTTGACTGCATGTGTAGAAGAGACAACTTCTTTGTTGCCAACTTGGGTACGGCAAGGGTTCTGCAGGGCCACTTGCTTCATCCCCAAGCCCACCTTGCGTATCCCATGTGGTGACATGAAATTAGCTGTAGCACCACAATCAACTAACACACGGAGATAGCGGTGGTTGATGAGAAGTTTAAAGAAGATTAACTTCACCGTCCCTTGGGCCCGCTGCTGTTTCATTTCAGCCCAATGCTCCAAGTGCTAGTGGAAGTCAATCATCTCAGACTCCTCCCAAGGCTCGTCATACAATACGTTACTTACCGCAGCCTTGTCTTCAGCAGATGGTTGGGCTTCAAGCGAGG